CCTCCAAGGATGGAAATCCCGCAACCTCCCTGGGTAACCTGTTCCAGTGTTTTACTACCCTCCTAGTGATAACATTCTTCCTAATATCCAACCTAAACTTCCCCTGCTGCAACTTGAGATCATTGCTCCTTGTTCTGTCATCTGCCACCACTGAGAACAGTCTAGCTCCATTCTCTTTCAAACTCCACTTCAGGTAGTTGAAGGCTGCTGTTAAATCTCCCCCTCTCTTTAGACTAAATAAGCCCAGTTCCCTTAGCCTCTTCGCATAAGTCATGTTCCCCAGCCCCCTCACCATTTTTCATTGAGCTCCACTGGACCCTCTCCAATTTGTCCATATCCTTTCTGTAGAGGGGGGGCCCAAAACTGAACACAGTACTCCAGATGTGGCCTCACCAGTGCTGAATAGAGGGGAATAATCACTTCCTGTGACATGCTGGCAACACACCTACCAATGCAGCCCAAGATGTTGTTAGCTTTCTTGGCAACAAAGGGACACTGTTGGCCATAGGCGACGTATAAGGGGAGCACGGATGTGGGGGGCACAGTCCCCGCTCACCTTCTGCCGGCCCCCCCCCCTGCTACCAACACTGCTGCCAGCGGCTGCGGGCGGTCCCTGCTTGCCACTAGCAACCATTGTGCCCCCCTAGTCATGGGAGGCACCAGTCATTCATACTGTTGGCTCATATTCAGTTTCTTGTCTACTGTAACTCCCAGCCAGCCTGTCCTTTTATCTGCTTTCCCAGAAATATGAGAGTGATCATCCTTTCCTGTCATTGCCAAGAATACCTTTTATTGTATAGTAAATGTGCGTATACTAGTTTACTTGTGAATTTTGGCCTTCTGTAAAATAACTGCATCATGGTCTGTGTGACTGATACTAGAAATATTTAAGAATTCTGCCTGCTATACACCAGAATGTAGTACATTGATCTGTTTAATGATGGCAGCTCCAAGAGAACTGAAGAACATGAAATCATAGTGTGAAATATGAAAGAGTTCATAAAGCAGGAAAGCATCCACAATGTTTTTGTGACATTTGTTCTGGAAACAAAATCAATTTTACTATGAAAATAAATTTGGAATTAAATCATTGATTTATCTTTCCACTGAGAGACTTATTGATCCCATTGCTAATGCTGTATTCAGAGTATAATTACTATATACAAAAGTAATAATAGTTCAGATGTAGCTAACTGTACATCCAGAATCTAGAGGTCCTTATGTAAATTTTGTTCTGTCTATACTTTGGGCCATATCAATGGCTACATGGATCCTTTACTTGTAGGCATGGAAGTTGGAAGTAAGGCCACATAGACATCCATTTTCTCCTGGGAAAGTCACTGCTTTCCCAGGGGAAGTGACAAGTGTACAGATTCCGCATTTTTCTCCCAGAGCAAAATTAACCTGCAAACAGCTAGGGTTAAATCACCCCCAGAAGAGTTTCTCCTGGAAGAGAAAATGTTTGTACATGTTATTTTCTGAGAAAAGATGCAGCACGATAGTCCAGAATCCCATTTTGCTTTCCTTCCCACTATGGAGACAATGTGCCAACTTGCTTCCTCAACTCTGCTGTTCCAGCCAAGCAGGGAGTAGAAGTGCTGCAGGGAGACACAGACTGACTCTGATCATTCTGGGTCAGCCAATCACAGCTGTCCCATACACTGGGGAGCCTGCAGAGCACCCTGAGATGCGTGCACAGGGGATCCCTAGATGCACAGCATCAGCACTGAAGACTCTGCTCTTCAGGGGTTCAGCATCCAAAAGTCTGTTCAGGCTGGCCCTGTGTGCCAACCCTGCAGCCCCAGAAACTGATACAAGAAGCAAGGGGAGGGTCACAAGTCAACAGGCCAAAGGAAAGGGATAGGTAAAAGGTAAAAAAAAATCAACACTGTGGTAACATATACTCAGCATCTTAAATTTCCCCAGCCCCTTCCCCCCGACACCTCCGGAGATGTCCTCAAACAAACCTTTAGATCCTAGGGCAGTGGTTTTTAACCTGTGGCCTGTGGACCTAAGGGATCTGAGAAAGATGACTATGATCAGTAAAAAGTATGTGAATACTGATACTTACAATTCAAAGGGGCCTGCACCTCCATTTGAAATTTTCAAAGGGGTCCATACCTCCATTTGACATTTTTTTAGGGGGCCACAAGTGAAAAAAGGTTGAAAACCACTGCCCTAGAGTGCTCAAAACAGCAGCTGCCACTGAGTCTGAGTCTAGTTTCTTCAGGCCAGTCCTGGCTGACCAAACCAGTGAGGTCTTCAGCTTGATTGTGCACTTTATGTAGGGCTGACCAGGTTTCATGTGCACACTGTTCTGTCTTCCCCCCACTCCAGCCTTGAGCTTCCTCTTCCTTTTTTCCTTACCTCCCAGCCCATGGGGGTTTCTGGGAGTTGCAGTCCAAATTAACAATCAACACAGCTCTGCAGACTGCTCCCTACTTCTTCCTGCTGTTACACACATTACATTCACATCACACCTTGATTTTCCATCACGAGAACAAACCTGGATTATATGTGGTAAGGTGTTTTTAAACCTCCCCAGGGGCACTGGGTGTTGGCTACAGCTAAGACTTTGGATTTCACCTGGGATGTACCGATTTTTCTACGAGGAGCAAAGCCAGAGGTTCCTAGCTAGAAGGTCTTGCCCTTCCACTCAGGGTCAGACTGATCATCATATTTGGGGTAAAGAAGGAAGTTTTACCCCATGGTCAAACTGGTATGGATTGTAGGGGGGTTTGCCTTCCTCTGTAGCAAGGGCATGGCCCTCTACCAGGGACCTCTTGAGCATATTGGCAACATTTTATAGAAGCAGGACATTGGCTGCCATGGTTCCCATGCTTCCCCTGTGACAAGTTAAGGTATTAGGTCTATGTTGTGTTAGGGATAAGGGTAGTCTTCTGTAGAATTCATGGTTGTATGAGATGGTTTAGATAAGGATGATCCTGATTCAGGCGGGGGTCGAACTTGATGACCTCTGGACATCCCTTCCAAC